CTTATCTCAACCCATGAGTCTCCTCTTTTCCCCTCTGACTCTCTTCCCCATCCCCTGGGGCTGGGTGAGCAAGTGGCTGCATGGAGTTTAGTTGCAGGCTGGGTTAAACCATGACATCCCCCGCCCCTCCAAAAAAACACCAAGAGAGATGATGGCAAGTTTTTGATGTCAAAATCCTCCTTGTTGGAAAAAGTCCAAGAACTAAGAAGCTGTCTAACTGGTATCTCTCAAAGACTAACCATTGAGGAGGGTATTAAGCAAAAGATTAATTAAGCAGATAATTCAGAAATTATAACACACTGGGATGAAGTTCCAAAGCAAGGAAGTCGCATCTGGGCTGGATGATCATCTTCAGATCTAAAACACTTTTAAAGGTTAGGGGAAAGAGACAAAGAAGGAACTGGAAAATAACAACAGGCAAAAAGAGACCGTTAGATGACAAAGCTGACTGCTGCCTTCTGTCTGATTTAAGCATCCTCAACATCAGTCAGTAATCCTACAAGTTATTCACTAGTTATATAGTACAAATGGGAATTTTACTTGAAGAAGCCTGTCTCCTAGATAATTAAAATACTTGTCCTAGGAACAGAAACGGAACAGACACCAGTATGACACACATCTGACTTGAGCCGTACAGCTTGGTGTCTGATAACATAATCCCCCATAAAAATCCTTCCACAGGAGTTCAGATACTTACTCTCAAAGCATCTATCAAGTGAACCTTCTTGGCCAACAGCTGCTGATACTCTAATTTAGGGTGGATAAGCTTTAATGTGTGCCTCACAGATTCTTCATCTATGTCTAGCAGGGAGTAAAAAAAACGCAACAAGGAAATGAATAATATATATTCCATTTATGAGAACATAAAATGAAATCAAGGACAATAAAATAGAGAAGAAAGTTTTACCATATGATATGTTGAGATTAATCTTCCTTTTAGTAGCCTCTTTAGAAAGTACATCTTTTAGGATGGATATTGTAGAAATATTGTCAGACTTAAAACATCCTTCACCTTTTCTATAAAGGAAGAAAAACTTTAAATGAACAGACTTTGACACACATACATCCATTAGATTTGTCCCTATGTTAAAACAGAAGGTCTGTAAAAATGATTCTCCATATATTAGGCTGCTGTACACACACCTGTGCTACTCCCTCCTTCCCTATATCCAGTGTAATCTTGTAGAGAACAATTTCTTCCAGTAAATAAGACAAAGCAGTACGCACAAATCTCAGGTATACAAGAAGCAGTTGTCTTATCATTATGACGGCACTAAGGTCATACAAGTAAGATCTCCGACTGTATTCATTCCTTCTGAGTTTTATCACTGCAACACCTTGAAGCCAAACAGCAAGCTTCACCACCAGAAGGGAGAAAAAACACTCTGTCCGTCCCCTCCCAAACTACCACTCAACAACTTTCTACGTTATGAGTAGACAACATGTATGGTAGGCTTGGAGCAGGTTGGAATCTATATAATAACAACAATTAATTTTCCCCTACTTTATAATTCCATTTTCTGGTGGATATACATAATTTGCTGAAGGAAGATATAACTAATTAATTTGAGAAGAGAGTATTAAACATAGAAATAATATTTGCCTAATGTAAGTTGCAGAAAAAGATTTTCAGCTTAATGTTCATTCACATTTTTGTTTGCATGAGTACTAAATACCTTTTAAGTTATTTCTGCTCCTCAATACAAAGAGAAGGAAGTTAGAAAACAACAGGAATTACAAAACAATTTCACTATATTAGTTAGCTAGGTTCTTTACATTCTAAAAGCAAGCCACCATCCTAAAAACGTATCAAGCCCGTCCTCCCTGGCAATATTTGTTTTTGGATCAGCTTCAAGAAAAACACTACTCAAGCTACAGATTGCATCATTACTGGATAGTGCTCACTCCAGTAATGTTTGACAATCCTTTTTAACATTCCTGTTCTCTTTAATAGGAGTTTGATGCGGCCAAGGGTGGGGAGGTGAACAGTAGTACGTGCATCAAATGGTACTTGCAGACTGGTCAAGAACGAAAAGGACAAAAAGTCCCAGCATAATCCCATGATACTGTAACTGTATTTTACCTGTAAGTACTTTCAAGCTGTGTACCCAGGAAGGTGTTCTGAAAATAAAAGGTGATACTCTCTCCAGCGGGAGTCTTTTCAGGCACTTCAGGCAAGCAAAACACAACCCAGGAGTGAATTTCAGCAAAACTGAACTGGCCTTTGAGCGTCAGTGTATTCATGGGTCTATGACATTGTGAAATTAAAAAAAAAAAGAATAGTTAACAGTTATGAAGGAGGGATGCTGTCAGTCCACTGGTTATACATATGAAAAAAGTTTAGTTCTATGTGGTTGTTTCCTTTTAATCAACACCCTGTAGAAAGTCAGGTATCTTGCTAAGTTGTTACATGTTCAGGATTACAGTTTCTTTTCTGTTTTTCAAGACAAAACGCTACCCGTGCATTGAAGTTTTATCTCACAGTAGGCATTGTCAGAACTAAGTAAGAAACTAGTTGGAAGGTTTTGACATATCCCGTTTCAAGCTGTTAAACCTGAAACCTGTGACAAAGGTAAATAACTGACAACACAGCAAGTATGACTAAGAGCCTGAACAGTCTCCCAGGCTGTAAACCACAGACAACAGCATTTACATCAAGAAATCATTTGCACGTTAAGAAAAAGCATTTGGTAACATTCCTTCAGCCCTTCCGTTTTGTTTTGAAGCAAGAAGTACCTTGGTGGCAATACAAGATATTATTTGAGAGTAGGGAAAAATCAAGTAGAAGTTGCATAAAATAGTAGGTTCCTCACAGAGAGATAAGGGGCAAAAAAGTCTTGGCTCAGTTTTGGAGCCAAATTAGCCATGGGAAAATCACATTAAAAGGGCGGAGGGGAGAGTGAGGCTGAAACTCAGAAGACTGCGGTTACTGACACTGGAGAGTTTCCTTTCTACCACACCCTCAGCTCTACTGACACATGTGGCTGCACTATAACCCAGGGCAGTAAAAATAATCTGAAAACAAGGGTAAAGAATGGCAAGGAAAGCAGGAATCCATTAAATGTGCATTTTCTGTCAGAAAACCCACAAAAATGGAACTATCGGCTCAAAATTTTACGTTGGGGATTAGGAATGATGTAAATTTATAGAGTAAACATTGTTTCAACTGGATTGTGTCCGTTTTTCAAGAGAAACAGGCATTAATTTTCATTGCAAATACCTGTCCTGGTCAATAGAATGAGTTCTCTGATGAAGCGAAAGTGGTTTAATTTGATACTGATGAACTTGGCAGGTTTTTGGTTGAATTCTTGGAGTTACATACGCTTGGAGTGTCCCGTACTGTCCTTCAATCGATCGAACCTGCAGAAATAAAAGCAGAACCCACAAAAAAAAGAAAAAACGGGAAAAGATTAAATTTGGAAAATCAGTGGGTATTCAAAATATGTTAAAGAAAGACTGTAGTCTTTTTGTAGATTTATTTAGAGTACTATATTTACTTGATAGTGTCACTATAAATAGAGATCAAGAGTGTTTTACAACGAGACAAAGTAGTGTTCAATGAAGTGCTGCTATACTAGATGAATGAAATATTAATAAAATATAATCCACTAACTTACTTTCTGATCAGTTAAAATAAAAAGTCTGTAACTTGCTTCTAATTCTTCAGTGGCCCCATTACTTTTTTTTTTTTTTGATTAAGGAAAAAATACATTCTGTAGCAGCTGGCAGCAAGAATAGATGAAAGAATTTAGAAGCGTAAGCTGAGTTTCAAAATATGCGTTCATCTCTTCACAACAACCAAAATTCTTCCTGAGCTATTTTTGGAAAAGTAAGAAGCCAGATTTAAGTTCAAGTCTCAAAATTCCCAACAGGATGTACAAACACATTCAAGACACAGTACGCCCTGTCCACATGTCTGAGGTTCTCAATCGCTTCCCAGCATCAA